TGTGACACTGAACATGTGTGACACTGAACATGTGTGACACTGAACACGTGTGACACTGAACGTGTGACACTGAACACATGTGACACTGAACATGTGTGACACTGAACACACGTGACACTGAACACGTGTGACACTGAACATGTGACACTGAACATGTGACACTGAACACGCGTGACACTGAACATGTGACACTGAACATGTGTGACACTGAACATGCGTGACACTGACATGTGACACTGAACATGTGTGACACTGACGTGACACTGAACACGCGTGACACTGAACATGTGACACTGAACATGTGACACTGAACACGCGTGACACTGAACATGTGTGACACTGAACATGTGTGACACTGAACATGTGTGACACTGAACACGCGTGACACTGAACACATGTGACACTGAACACGCGTGACACTGAACATGTGACACTGAACACGTGTGACACTGAACACGTGTGACACTGAACATGTGATCCTGAACATGTGTGACACTGAACATGTGTGACACTGAACACGTGACACTGAACATGTGATCCTGAACATGTGTGACACTGAACACGCGTGACACTGAACATGTGTGACACTGAACATGTGACACTGAACATGTGTGACACTGAACACGTGTGACACTGAACATGTGATCCTGAATATGTCTGACACTGAACACGTGTGACACTGAACACGTGACACTGAACACGTGTGACACTGAACACGCGTGACACTGAACAGGCGTGACACTGAACACGTGTGACACTGAACACGCGTGACACTGAACACGCGTGACCCTGAACACGCGACACTGAACACGCGTGACACTGAACACGCGTGACACTGAACACGTGTGACACTGAACACGTGACACTGAACACGTGTGACACTGAACACATGTGACCCTGAACACGTGTGACCCTGATCACGTGACATTACACACGCGTGACCCTGCACCCCCTGCCCCAAGTCTGACCCCATGCACCCGTGTCCCATGTCCCATACCTCGTATCCCGTACCCCATGGCCCCATACTCCATACCCCATATCCCACGCCCCATATCCCACGCCCCATACCCCATACCCCTTATCCTATATCCCACACCCCACACCCCATATCCCACACCCCATACCCCATATCCCACACCCCATACCCCACACCCCATACCCCATAGCCCACACCCCATACCCCACACCCCACACCCCATACCCCATATCCCACACCCCACACCCCCACCCCACACCCCATATCCCACACCCCATACCCCATATCCCATATCCCATACCCCATACCCCATATCCCATATCCCATACCCCATATCCCATATCCCACACCCCATACCCCATACCCCATATCCCATATCCCATGCCCCCATACCCCATATCCCATATCCCATGCCCCCATACCCCATATCCCATATCCCATGCCCCCATACCCCATATCCCACACCCCACACCCCACACCCCATACCCCATACCCTATACCCCATACCCTATACCCCATACTCTATACCCCATACTCTATACCCCACACCCCATACCCCACACCCCATACCCCATATCCCACGCCCCACGCCCCACGCCCCACGCCCCACACCCCACACCCCACACCCCACACCCCACACCCCATGCCCCCCATCCCTGCCCCGTGTCCCCCCGGGCCCTACCCTGGCAGTGGCTGCTGTTGAGGCGCTTGTAGCCCTGGGGGCAGTCCCCACCGAGCTCCCCCCGCACCGGGCCCGGCTTCTGCACCCCCGAGGCTGCAGTGGGGACAGCGCAGGGAGTGGGGGGGGGTGGGGGTAAAGGGGGGGTTGGGTGTGAGGGGGGGATGGGGGAGGTTGGGGGGTGTGGGGGGGAGGGGGGGTTTGGGTTTGCGGGGGGGTTGGGGGTAAAGGAGGGGTTGGGGGCTTGGGGTGTGGGGGGCAGATGGGGGGGTTGGGGTGTGCGGGGTGGGAGGGGGGGTTGGGGGTAAAGGGGGGGTTGGGGGGCAGATGGGGGGGTTGGGGTGTGTGGGGGGGAGGCGGGGGAAGGCGGGTTTGGGGTCGGGTGGGGGATGGGGGGGTTGGGGTGTGGGGGGTGGGAGGGGGGGTTGGGGGTAAAGGGGGGGTTGGGGGGCAGATGGGGGGGTTGGGGTGTGGGGGGGGGGAAGGGGGGGTTGGGGTGTGTGTGGGGGGATGGGGGGTAAAGGAGGGGTTGGGGGGCTTGGGGTGTGGGGGGCAGATGTGGGGGTTGGGGTGTGGGGGGCAGATGGGGGGGTTGGGGTGTGGGGGGTGGGAGGGGGGGTTGAGGGTAAAGGGGGGGTTGGGGGGCAGATGGGTGGGTTGGGGTGTGTGGGGGGAGGGAGGGGGAAGGGGGGGTTGGGGTGGGGGGAGGGGGGCTGGGGGCTAAAGGGGGGAGTTGGGGTGTGCAGGGGGGATGGGGGGGTGGAGTGGGGGGGGCGGATGGGGGGGTTGGGGGGGGGAAAGGAGGGGGTTGGGGAGTGCGGGGGGAGGGGGGGTTGGATTGGGGGGGGATGGGGGTTGGGGGGGAAAGGGGGGGGTTGGTGTGTGCGGGGGGGGGTTGGAGTGTGGGGGGCGGATGGGGGGGGTTGGGGTTTGTGGGGGTGTTGGGGTGTGCGGGGGGGGAATGGGGGGTTGGGGTGTTTCAGGGTGGGCACTGGTTTGGGGAGACTTGGGGCTATTTGGGGTGTTTGAGGTGTTTCGGGTGCTTTGAGGTGTTCGGGGGTGGTTTTGGGGGTTGTTTTGGAATGGTTTGGGGGTATTTGGGGTGTTTGGGGGGGTGTTGAGTGTCATTGAGGTGTTTCAGGGTGTTTTCGGGGTGGGTTTGGGTGTTTCAGGGTGTTTTTGGGGTGGGTTTGGGTGTTTCAGGGTGTTTTGGGGGTGAGTTTGGGTGTTCTGGGGTTGTTTTAGGACATTTTGGGTGTTTCAGGGTGGTTTTGGGGGATGTTTGAAGTGTTTCAGGGTGTTTTGGGGGTGGTTTTGGGTGTTCTGGGGTTGGTTTAGGACATTTTGGGTGTTTCAGGGTGTTTTCGGGGTGGGTTGGGTGTTTCAGGGTGTTTTGGGGGTGACTTTGGGTGTTTTGGGGTTGTTTGGGGATTTTGGGGTGTGTTAGAGGTGTTTCAGGGTGGTTTTGGGGTGCTTCAGGGCTTGTCTTGGGGTGTTTTGGGGTGTTTCAGGGTGTTTTGGTGGTGTTTGAGGTGCTTTGGGGTGGTTTTGAGTGTTCTGGGGTTGTTTTAGGATATTTTGGGTGTTTCAGGGTGTTTTGGGGTGAATTTGGGTGTTTCAGGGTGTTTTGGGGGTGAGTTTGAGTGTTTCAGGGTGTTTTCGGGGTGGTTTGGGGTGTTCTGGGGTTGTTTTAGGACATTTTGGGTGTTTCAGGGTGGTTTTGGGGGGAGTTTGGGTGTTTCGGGATGTTTTTGGGGTGAGTTTGGCTGTTTTGGGGTTGTTTTGGGATTTTGGGGGGTTATTTAGGGTGTTTGGGGCGTGTGTTAGAGGTGTTTCAGGGTGATTTTGGGGTGGTTTAGGGGTTGTCTTGGGGTGTTTTGGGGTGTTTCAGGGTGGTTTGGGGGTGTTCGAGGTGTTTAAAGGTGTTTTTTGGGTGTTCTGGGGTTGTTTTAGGACGTTTTGGGTGTTTCAGGGTCTTTTGGGGGTGATTTTGGGGTGTTCTAGGGCTGTTTTAGGATGTTTTGGGTGTTTCAGGGTGGTTTTGGGGTGGTTTAGGGGTTGTCTTGGGGTGTTTCACGGTGTTTTTGGGGTGGTTTTGGGTGTATTGGGGTTGTTTTGGGGTGTTTCAGGGTGTTTTGGGGGTGGTTTTGGGTGTTCTGGCGTTGTTTTAGGACATTTTGGGTGTTTCAGGGTGGTTTTGGGGGTGTTTGAGGTGTTTCAGGGTGTTTTGGGGGTGGTTTTGGGGTTGTTTTAGGACGTTTTGTGTGTTTCAGGTTGTTTTGGAGGTGTTTGAGGTGTTTCAGGGTGTTTTGGGGGAGGTTTTGGGGTAGTTTTAGGACATTTTGTGTGTTTCAGGGTGTTTTTGGGGGGTGTTTGAGGTGTTTCAGGGTGTTTTGGGGGTGGTTTTGGGGTTGGTTTAGGACGTTTTGTGTGTTTCAGGGTGTTTTGGAGGTGTTTGAGGGTGTTTTGGGGGTGTTTTGGGGTGTTCTGGGGTTGTTTTAGGACATTTTGGGTGTTTCAGGGTGTTTTTGGGGGGTGTTTGAGGTGTTTCAGGGTGTTTTGGGGGTGTTTTGGGGGTTGGTTTAGGACGTTTTGGGTGTTTTCGGGGTGGTTTTGGGGTTGTTTTAGGACGATTTGTGTGTTTCAGGGTGTTTTGGGGGTGTTTGAGGTGTTTCAGGGTGTTTTGGGGGTGGTTTTGGGTGTTCTGGGGTTGTTTTAGGACATTTTGGGTGTTTCAGGGTGGTTTTGGGGTGAGTTTGGGTGTTTCAGGGTGTTTTGGGGGTGGTTTTGGGGTTGTTTTAGGACGTTTTGGGTGTTTTCAGGGTGGTTTTGGGGTTGTTTTAGGATGTTTTGTGTGTTTCAGGGTGTTTTGGAGGGGGTCTTGGGTGTTCTGGGGTTGTTTTAGGACATTTTGGGTGTTTCAGGGTGTTTTGGGGGTGGTTTTGGGGTTGTTTTAGGACATTTTGGGTGTTTCAGGGTGGTTTTGGGGTGATTTTGGGTGTTTCAGGGTGTTTTGGGGGTGTTTTTGGGTATTCTGGGGGTGTTTTAGGACATTTTGGGTGGTTTTGGGCTGTTCTGGGGGGCACTCACGCTGCAGGGGGGGGCACTTGTGGCACTTGCTCTGGCCCCAGGCGGTGCCGATGCTCCCGCAGCAATCCTCCTGCTTCGTCAGCCCCGGCAGGGGGTTGCTGCCGCACTGCGGGGGGGGGCAGCACCCAAATACACCCCTGCACCCCCGCACGAGACCCCCCCCCACTGCACCACAACACCCCCATTGCTCCCATCCCCCCCCCATTGAACCCATCGCCCATTGGACCCATTCCCTCCATTGCTCCCATCGCCCCCATTGCACCCATCCCCCCATAGCAACCCAACAAACCCCATTGCTCCCATCCCCCCCATTGCACCCATCGCCCATTGCACACCAACACCCCCATAGCACCCATCCCCCATCGCACCTCTCCCCCCCCATTGCACCCCAACACCCCCCATTGATACATCCCCCATAGCACCCCTCCCCCATCGCACCCCTCCCCCATCGCACCCCTCCCCCCATCGCACCCCTCCCCCCACTGCACCCCTCCACCATTGCACCCCAACACCCCCCATTGATCCATCCTCCCATAGCACCCCTCCCCCATCGCACCCCTCCCCCCATCGCACTCCCCCCATCGCACCCCTCCCCCCCATCGCACCCCCCCATCGCACCCCTCCCCCCCATCGCTCCCCTCCCCCATCGCACCCCTCCTCCCCCATCGCACCCCTCCCCCCATCGCACCCCTCCCCCCATCGCACCCCAACACCCCCCATCGCACCCCTCCCCCATCGCTCCCCTCCCCCCCATCGCACCCCTCCCCCCCATCGCACCCCAACACCCCCCATCGCACCCCTCCCCCATCGCACCCCTTCTCCCCCATCGCACCCCTCCCCCATCGCACCCCTCCCCCCCATCGCACCCCTCCCCCCCCATCGCACCCCTCCCCCATCGCACCCCTCCCCCCCATCGCACCCCTCCCCCCCCTCACCGAGTGCTTGGGCAGGGTCTCCTGGAAGCAGCGCCCCAGGGGTTTGTGGGTGCGGGGCCGGGGGGGGGAGGGGTGCGGCAGCAGCGCGGGGGCGGGGCCGGGGGCGGGGCCAGGGGCGGGGCCGGGGCGTGGCTCCAACCGGTGAACCTGGACCGAGGCCTCGGGGGGGTGGTGCACGCGCACGTTCACCAGCGGGGGGGGCACCTGCACTGCGGGGGGAGGGGGCACCGGCACCTCGGCACCGCCCCCCAGGGCACCGCATAGAACCCAGAGGCACCAAAGCATCCCATAGACCCCATAGACCCCATAGACCCCATAGATCCCATAGACCCCATAGACCCCATAGATCCCATAGATCCCATAGACCCCATAGACCCCATAGACCCCATAGACCCCATAGACCCCATAGACCCCATAGACCCCATAGATCCCATAGACCCCCATAGATCCCATAGACCCCATAGATCCCATAGACCCCATAGATCCCATAGATCCCATAGATCCCATAGACCCCATAGATCCCATAGCATCCCATAGACCCCATAGATCCCATAGACCCCATAGATCCCATAGACCCCATAGATCCCATAGACCCCATAGACCCCATAGACCCCATAGATCCCATAGACCCCATAGACCCCATAGATCCCATAGACCCCATAGATCCCATAGATCCCATAGACCCCATAGACCCCATAGACCCCATCCCATAGACCCCATAGACCCCATAGACCCCATAGATCCCATAGACCCCATAGACCTCATAGCATCCCATAGACCCCATAGACCCCAGAGATCCCATAGACCCCATAGATCCCATAGACCCCATAGACCCCAGAAATCCCATAGATCCCATAGATCCCATAGACCCCATAGATCCCATAGACCCCATAGCATCCCATAGACCCCATAGATCCCATAGACCCCATAGATCCCATAGACCCCATAGATCCCATAGACCCCATAGCATCCCATAGACCCCATAGAATCCCTTAAACCCCATAGTACCCCATAGCACCCCATAGCATCCCATAGACCCTAGAGCACCCCACAGCATCCCATAGACCCTAGAGCACCCCATAGCATCCCATAGACCCCATAGAATCCCTTAAACCCCATAGACCCCATAGCATCCCATAGACCCCATAGCATCCCAAAGAATCCCATAGCATCCCATAGACCCCATAGAATCCCTTAAACCCCATAGTACCCCATAGCACCCCATAGCACCCCATAGACCCCATAGCATCCCATAGACCCCATAGATCCCATAGACCCCATAGCATCCCACAGACCCCATAGATCCCATAGACCCCATAGCATCCCATAGACCCCATAGACCCCATAGCATCCCATAGACCCTATAGCATCCCATAGACCCCATAGCACATCATAGAACCCCATAGCACCTCATAGAACCCCATAGCATCCCATAGACCCTATAGCACATCATAGAACCCCATAGCACCTCATAGAACCCCATAGCATCCCATAGACCCTATAGCATCCCATAGACCCCATAGCATCCCATAGACCCCACAGCACTCCATAGGCTCCATAGTACCCCCTAGTACCCCATAGCATCCCATAGATCCTATAGCATCCCGTCGACCCTATAGCACCCCATTGCATCCTGTAGACGCCATAG